GGAGATCCTGCAGCCCTTACGGGAGAAAGGTTTGGTCATACCCGCTGAGCCAGGGGCATGGGCGGCTCCGGCGTTGCTCGTGCCCAAACGAGACGGCAAGCGGCGGTTAGTCATTGACTACCGTCGCGCCAACTTGCACACCACCAACTCTTACACTCCCCTCCCTTCAATGTCCGACATCCTTCAGGTTTTCAGCGAGGCACGTGTCTTCTCCAAGATCGACCTGAAGGATGCCTTCTGGCACCTGCCAATCACCCAGGAAAGCCAGAAGTGTACGGGGTTCACCGTGGGTCCAGCACACCATTTCCAGTGGACGGTACTCCCACAAGGGCACAAATGTTCCCCTACAGAGTTCCAGCGGATCATGAATACCATATTTGCAGACGTGCTGGCGGGAACGGAGGTGCGCATCTACATCGACGATATCGTGGTAGGAACCCGGGATTCATCCGACATGAGGAGTTGCTGCTGACCGTGCTCCGCCGATTAGTGAAACACCGTTTCACGTTAAGCTGGGCAAAGGTGGAACTATTCAAGCCCGAAGTTCGATTCCTGGGATGTATAATCGGAAAAGGCACAGTACGCCCTGACCCTGACCGGATCAGGGATCTCCTCGCTGTCCGAGCCCCGACCTCTCAAAAGGAGCTACGCACCTTCCTGGGCGCGGTACAGTTTTTAGGCCCGCACCTGCCAGGACTGAGCCTGGTGGCAAAACCACTATTTGCGAAGAGCTCACCTATGCGGAAATGGACGTGGGACTCGGACTCCCAGGAAACTTTCGACGAGGTCAAGGGAATCATAGCCAAGGCAGTGGCATTAACTATGCCAAGGCGGGGCCGTGGTTTCGTGGTTATGACAGACGCATCAGGCACTGGCTTAGGGGGTATTCTCCTCCAGAGGGGCGAGAACCAACAGCCAGCCTTGTGCGCCTGTATCTCACAGGCATTCACGGAGACGGAACGAAAATGGAGTACGACGGAACGAGAGGCGTACGCGATAGTGCGCAGTTTGGAGAAGTTCGCAGGCATGGTGCAGGGCGAGCCCATTGTCGTGGTCACGGACCATAAAGCTCTGACTGCATTAGACACC